CACTTAGCCATGCTGGCTGCTGTTTTTTTAAATTGGATTATTTGGTGTTTTATTCTGTATGTATTTTAAATATTAACCCCTTGCGCTGTTGTTTGCAAATAACATCTCCCATTCGGTTGCACCCCCGCATCTAAAAGCTTCGTCATCAGCGGCTGTCTCGGAGCCCTGACTGCTGAAATCAGACGGCACCTTCTCGCCCAGGGGCGGTTTCATCAACAGAGGATCATTAGGCAGGAAGCCTCCTCGTAGAAGCTTCTGGATTCGGGAAAGCGCCAACGATGCGAAACCGCCTTCCGCGTTTGCGGAACGTTCCGGTCTACAGATAGTCGTCAGATCAAGCGCTCACAGGATGGAGTGAGGAAGTGCCTGAAATCGATTAAATGTTGCAGGAGGAGAAGGGGAAAAAAATAGAAGAATCTAGCCGAAAACGGCCGCGTCAGCAGTCATAACCCAGGCTTGCATTCCTTCACCCGGAGGTGTCCTGGGAATTCTTCGGACATTGGACACGCATTTCTAAAGCATTTGCAATCGAGTTCCTAAAATGCAGCCCGACTTATCTTCCAAGAATGTTCTGGCCGCCTCACAAAGCCAAGGACACGTGCTCTGGGCGAGTGCCCTGTCGGTCACTTCATCCGGACCCCAGGGCTCCGTATCAGCCCGCGGCCCTGGGCTCAGATGATGTTCCTTGTTCGGAAGGTGGGCGCCTCTCCGTCCCTGTCCCAGCAGAGCCCCCCGCTCCGGCCTGGGGCCAGGCACTGGGAGTCTGGAAACTGCTCAGCTCTAACTGGGAGGGGCCTGCAGGCGTGCATGGACATTTCGTCTCAATGCTCCAAAACACTCTTAATTTATCGGGGATGATAACATCTTACGTATGCGGAGAACTGTGCAACGTGTAAAATATTTTCCCATCTCTTTTCCCCTTGGTTAACTTCAGTTCTTATGCCAACATTGGAAAGTGGGTGGGTGAGGGCGGCTTATCTCCATTTACAGATTCCAGAGGGAAGCTTGAATTAAATACCCTTTTATACCATAAATATGCCCGATGGTCTCAAATCTGACAGTATCGAGTATTCCTGAGGACGCGTGGCAACTGACATGCCGCTGCTGGTGGTGGGAAACCTTGGAAAAGGTTTGGGGTCACTCAGTAAATCTGAAATGACTCTACCGTAGGACCCAGCCATTCTAACCCTAGAATAGACCCCAGAGAAGTGCTTGCACGTGCGCCCCAGCAGTTACATCGGAGGATGTTCACAACAGGATGTTCACAACAGCCAATGACTGGAAACAGCCAGGAGCCCCCCAGGACCGATGGATTAACATGTTGCAGCGTCAGGCGTGGCTCGCACGGCGGAGCCCCAGGGACCTACACCGGGAGCACAGCACATCCGAATGATGCCACTTCTGAAAAGCGGCAAAGCCAGGCCAAGCGTAAGAGGTGTTTTGGGGGATAGAACCATAGGGGATAGAGCCTTGAAGAAGTTCAAGAACGTGCTTCACACAATCCTCAGGGCAGAGGCTGTGCCCTGAGGAGGGGAGGAAGAGGATGGTCTGGGGGCGGGGCACACAGACGACTTGGGAAGTAATCGCATGGTTGTTTCTTAACTGGGGCGATGGCTCAATATATTGTCACCCTTTAAAAAAAATGTACTGCTTAGTCCATACTTAATAAATACACATTAAAATGAATAGCATTCACATAAAATATCAAAGACTAATTCCAAAGGCAGTTTGAAAACTAATCCCATGGCCTGGCCAGGGGCCTCAGATGCTTGGAGCATCAAACAGGTTCCAGGTTCGATTCCCGGTCAGGACACATACCTAGGTTGTGGGTTCAGTCCCTGGTCAAGGTGTGTACAGGAGGCAACTAATAGATGTTTCTCTCTCACATGGATGTTTCTCTCTCTCTCTCTCTCTCTCTCAAATCAATGAACCTATCCTGGGGTGAGGATTAAAAAATAATTTATAAAAATAAAATAAAAAATAATCTATATCATAAAAGACCTGTGGTCGTGATGCTGCAATGGTGACACAGCCAAACGAGCAGCGGCTCTCACGGTGGGCGGGGCAGGGCACGAGCTACTCAAGGCGGAGAGCTACTCCTGGAGGAGAGCTACTCCTGGCGGAGAGCTTCTAGCAACAGAGAGCTACGAGCAGCGATGGGCAGGGCGACCAGCTGAGGCAAGTGGAAGTGAGCTACTCACTCACGATCTCATGCGAACTGGGCCTCTTGTTTCTAAAAACAAAATAAAAACCAATCCCACTTACAATAGCAGCAAAAACGATAAGGTACCTGGGAACAAATATAAGAAAATGTGTGCACAGCTTCGTAGGGAAAATTATAAAACTTTCATAAAG